TCTCCACTAACATATGGCCTTTGAAAGGGTTTTTGCGACTTTCTCCAACAATCAAAATTGGAGACAATGAGAACATCAAAAAACTTGTCAAATATTAATATAAAATCAGCTGTTGCTGCTGCTTCTGGTCCTCCAGTTAACCTAATGGCCTTTCCAACAGTCTCTCTGAGTACCTAAAAATATAAACATGTCTCAAAAACATTTTATACAATTTTTGTCACAAAACCTGAGCTGCCAGGTCAACTCGCATCTTTGAGAAGGAATTAATATAGATGTGTTCAAATTTCAGTTTTGGAACAATAGAAAGACCAGACCCTTTCCCATGATCTCTTTTATATAGGTCCACTACATGTTGCCAAGAAATGTTTGAGCCATTGTTCTACATACAAGTATATAAATGTAAAAAATGTGTATTTAATTTGACAATACCCATAAAAATCTGTTTTTTTGAAGCAAAGCAATTCCGGACTGTCTTGATTAGGTGAGGAGGATCAGAAAAACAATAAATATATCCATGACAATATTATAATGCATAATGGCTATAATACAAGTATACCTTTTCTCTTCGGCATGTATATTAAGAATCTTGTATACGAGCTTATCTGACAGATCATGTAGGGCCACCAATCTCCTGTTAACGGAAGTCCCATCAAATGTAGTTGCAATAACCTGAATAATAATTATGAATGCATTATCTGAACATGTACCAACATTAGATATATTACCTTGAATCCAATACGCTCCAATCTAAATACAGCTTCCCAAAATAAAGGAAATAGTTGCTCACCAACCAAACTCACACAGGGGAATTGTGCATAAGGAAATTTAAGAGAAGTAAATAATCCCTTTACCATGAAAGAAACCATAGATTTGGCTAAAGGTGGTGGGGTGTTCTCGGAGTCTAAAGACTTCTTAAAACGCATCAGATGATTATTGATATCCCCTATGTCTGTGAACCCTACCAAGTTACCTGTATGCTTATTGTACACAAGATCCTCTCGAATATGCATTTCGTCAATAAGAACTACAATTAGATTGTGATACTTGGCTGAGGTCATCAGTTTAGACGCCAGAAGCAGTTGGTTATCAACTTGAGATGAAAAGCCAGCCTCAGCCTTAACGGCATTAGAATAATCCCTTAATGTGCGCTGGGAAGGGAGTGCTATACAGCCAGAGTCTCGGATCGTTTCATAGGCTTTACTAGATTGGTGCCTCAAATATATACACTATCTGAGAATCATTGGATGCCAGCGAACACCATTCTTCTTTGAGCCTGTCTTAGATAGAGCTAGCTTCCGTTGATTCCAGAACAATGACTGAAACGAATCATCTGAGAA